GACCAGGGAGGAGTATAAAAATATTGCTCAGGCATGTAGGAGTGAAATCAGGAAGGCCAAATCACACTTGGAGTTGCAGCTAGCAAGAGATGTTAACAGTAACAAGAAGGGTTTCTTCAGGTATGTTAGCAACAAGAAAGTCAAGGAAAGTGTGGACCCCATTACTGAATGAGGGAGGCAACCTAGTGACCGAGGATGTGGAAAAAGCTAATGTACTCAATGCTTTTTTTGCCTCTGTCTTCACGAATAAGGTCAGCTCCCAGACTGCTGCACTGGGCAGCACAGTATGGGGAGGAGGTGACCAGCCCTCTGTGGAGAGAGAAGTGGTTCGGGACTATTTAGAAAAACTGGATGAGCACAAATCCATGGGGCTGGATGCGCTGCATCCGAGGGTGCTAAAGGAGTTGGCGGATGTGATTGCAGAGCCATTGGCCATTATCTTTGAAAACTCATGGTGATCGGGGGAGGTCCCGGATGACTGGAAAAAGGCTAATGTAGTGCCCATCTTTAAAAAAGGGAAGGAGGAGGATCCGGGGAACTACAGGCCAGTCAGCCTCACCTCAGTCCCTGTGTAGAAGGGCGGACTCACCCCTGCGGCGCCTCCTGCTGGTGACTCCAGAAATTAGCTCTTCCAGCGTACTGGAGCACCCTCTGCAGGCTGGTGGTCTGCCTGTCCTCTTCTGGCCCCCCCCATGTCCCTCCCAGGACCCCAGTGCCCTTATCTGGGGGGCTGCCCTCGGGCAGAACCCCTTTCCACTGGGTTTCCTCTCCCCGGGGAACCCCCACCCACTATCCTTACCTCGCCTCAGGATAAGGCCACTGCCAGTCACCAACTAGCCCCCACTCCATGTGGCAGACTGCAGTATTGGCAACTCATCACTGGCAAGGAGGTTTTGGACCTGCTGCCTTGGCCTAGCCCTGGGCTGCCCTCTGCAACCCCAAGTACCCCGTGGCCTTCCGCTAGGCTGCAGCCTGGGGCTATCCAGGCTGGAGCTTCCCAGCACCTCAGCCTTTCCCCAGCCCTGCTCCACTCAGGTACGCTATCCCTAGCTTGCTGCAGCCAGGCCCTTCTCTCTCTGCACTCAGAGAGCTCCTGGCTCCCAGCCTCTTTATACAGGCCAGCTGTGGCCTGATTGGGGCATGGCCCAGCTGTGGCTACTTCCCCAATCAGCCCAGCTTTTAGAGCTGCAGCCCTCTGCCAGGGCTGTTTTAAGCCCTTCCAGGCAGGCGCGGGGTAACCACCCCGCTACACCCTGGAAAAATCATGGAGCAGGTCCTCAAGGAATCAATTCTGAAGCACTTAGAGGAGAGGAAAGTGATCAGGAACAGTCAGCATGGATTCACCAAGGGCAAGTCATGCCTCACTAACCTAATTGTCTTCTATGAGGAGATAACTGGCTCTGTGGATGAGGGGAAAGCAGTGGATGTGTTATTCCTTGACTTTAGCAAAGCTTTTGATACGGTCTCCCACAGTATTCTTGCCAGCAAGTTAAAGAAGTATGGGCTGGATGAATGGACTATACGGTGTATAGAAAGCTGGCTAGATCATCGGGCTCAACAGGTAGTGATCAATGGCTCCATGTCTAGTTGGCAGCAGGTTTCAAGCGGAGTGCCCCAAGGGTCGGTCTTGGGGCCGGTTTTGTTCAATATCTTCATTAATGATTTGGAGGATGGCGTGGACTGCACTCTCAGCAAGTTTGCCGATGACACTAAACTGGGAGGCGTGGTAGATATGCTGGAGGTTAGGGATAGGATACAGAGGGACCTAGACAAATTAGAGGATTGGACCAAAAAAAATCTGATGAGGTTCAACAAGGACAAGTGCAGAGTCCTGCACTTAGGACGGAAGAATCCCATGCACTGTTACAGACTAGGGATCGAGTGGCTAGGAAGCAGTTCTGCAGAAAAGGACCTAGGGGTTACGGTGGACGAGAAGCTGGATATGAGTCAACAGTGTGCCCTTGTTGCCAAGAAGGCTAACGGCATTTTGGGCTGTATAAGTAGGGGCATTGCCAGCAGATCGAGGGACGTGATCGTTCCACTCTATTCGACATTGGTGAGTACTGCGTCCAGTTTTGGGCCCCACACTACAAGAAGGATGTGGAAAAATTGGAAAGAGTCCAGCAGAGGGCAACAAAAATGATTAGGGGGCTGCAGCACATGACTTACGAGGAGAGGCTGAGGGAACTGGGATTATTTAGTCTGCAGAAGAGAAGAATGAGGGGGGATTTGATAGCTGTTTTCAACTACCTGAAAGGGGGTTCCAAAGAGGATGGATCTAGACTGTTCTCAGTGGTAGCAGATGACAGAAGAATGAGTAATGGTCTCAAGTTGCAGTGCGGGAGGTTTAGGTTGGATATTAGGAAAAACTTTTTCACGAGGAGGGTGGTGAAGCAGTGGAATGGGTTACCTAGGGAGGTGGTGGAATCTCCTTCCTTAGAGGTTTTTAAGGCCCAGCTTGACAAAGCCCTGGCTGGGATGATTTAGTTGGGATTAGGTCCTGCTTTGAGCAGGGGGTTGGACTAGATAGCTCCTGAGGAGAACCCAAGTAAATGTGTGCACCCAGGAAGGCAGCACCTGCTGCTGCCCCAGAAATTGCATGTGTGCTTTCTGCGGTTCTAATTACCCTGTCCCCCCCCACCCCCCCAAGCAGGACTTTCTAGTGAGAAATTTGCTTACCAACCTTGGCTTTGATGTGTTTTGTTTTTCTTTCTGGTGACCTAGTATTAATGTCCTTCTGTATTTTCTTTTCTTCACTCTTGGTTGGGGATGGGATGGTAGGGGAATAATTGGGCCTACGCATTTACCCTAATTGTGAGCTCCACAGTGAGAAGTGAGTGAAAGGTTCGTAAAATGTCGCAGTGAACTATAATAAATGTTGATGGGGAAAGATGAAGAAAGAGAGAGGCTGAATTAGTCCAAACAAAAAAGCCCACTGATATAATTCAAGGACTGTGTAAACAAGGATAGTGTAAGACTGGAAATCAACGAAACAAAATTGGTGTGTTGGAAATTAGGCATAATTGGTGGACAAAATAATGTGGGGATGGGATATTCAACCCCTCACTCTCTTTTGGGGTCCTTCTCAGAAGAAGACTTTGTGGTGAGAACTGGCTTCTGCAATGTTGGCTGACTGAAAGAACAGGAAGGAGCGAACTTCACCATCCTGGCTGCCACCCCCACCATCTCTTAGGATCCTGGACCTTCTCCATCCTAACGAATGCTGAACACCACTTGGGATGTGAAACTTTATCACTCATATTCCCTCCGAGTGTGTCCTTTTCCTTCCCCACTTTCCTTCTTCTTTTTCCTATCCCTCTCTTTTTGTTTTCTGTTTAATAAGAGTCTGGCCAAGACTGTATATTGTGTAACACTGCTGTATCTCTGTGACCAGAAAGAGGCCGCTAAAAAGAGTGCCCTAAACAGCCCAATGCTGGTACAAGTTTGCCAGGTCTTGGAGTAGCTAATAAGGCCATGTGCTATACTTGTGTTTTTCCAGCAGTGAGGTTGCAAGTGACATTCAGCACCAGGGACAGTTGCTGTATTTTCTATCTTTGCTGTTCTTTTCTTTCCTCTTTGTTTGTCTTGTTATGCCCTCTAGGAAATAGAATTGGACTTGAACAACAGCAGCAACAACAATAGCTCCCGTGTATCCAACTAACTACTTCATTTACCCAAAAGAACAGTTATTCCCATAGAATAATAGAATATCAGGGTTGGAAGGAACCTCAGGAGGTCATCTAGTCCAACCCCCTGCTCAAAGCAGGACCAATCCCCAACTAAATCATCCCAGCCAGGGCTTTGTCAAGCCTGGCCTTAAAAACCTCTAGGGAAGGAGATTCCACCCATCTTTAATACCCTGTAAGAGACCATCAGGCAAAGGTTCTTTTCCTTCTAAAGACCCTCTCCTGCTAAATGGAATGAGGATGTTGTTAAAATGAAAACCTTACTTAATACCTTGCATTTCAAATGCTTTACCTGTTTTTCCTTCTTTCTGTATCTTTAATAAAAAGTTATAAAGGATGTTTAATAGTGTGTTTGCCATGGTACTAAGCAACCTGAGGTCTGTGTGTGCACCAAACCCTGAACCTTGTTTACCACTGTTTAATGTTGGACAGTGACAGGGTCATATCAATACCTTTAACTCTTTTGACTCTTGTATTCCATCTAAATTAATAAAAAAGTGCAGTGAGATATCTTTCTCACGGACTCTCTAGTTTGTTCTTTCTGCTGTATGAGTTACTGATTATCCAATCACCCTTGTGTTAACAGGCAGTCGAATTTATTGTATTTTAAACTTAGGTTACCACCACAGATGAGGAGAGTCCTAAAAGTGATCCTCATTTATTTTTTCCCCTTTTTTACAAAACCATGTGATTCCATGATCACTCTAGCAAAGGAGATTCAGAAAATAGATCTAGTTAAATATATTCTAGCATTGCACTCTGTTAAGGAGAAATGTAACCTAGAACATCTGCAGGTCTTTTTGCAATAGGTTGCTAAAACCTGCAAAAGTCTACTTAATACAGGGGGGGAATGAAGAAAAACTGCGTTGTTTACAAAATGAGTTCCAGATTTCATAAGGTTTTTTCCTTTCTCTCTCTCTTTCTCTTGATTAAACCCACAGTAATTTTTCAAAGTTAATATGCATTTCTGCAGTCTCAAGTCACAACGCCAGCTGGTTCCAAAGTTTGGCAGCAAGGCATCTGAAAGTTTGTTTCCTGTACTCAGTCTTCAGTTTTGCAAAGGTTACCAGATGAATGCTCCCTAAATAATTTAATCTAATGTAAGGCTGGAAGAGGCTACGAAGACAAGTCCATTTGTCTCCTTTATGCATTTGAATATAGAAGTGATTTTTTTTCAGTCTCAGGAAAGGGTGCCGCGTGAGTGTGGCTGGAATGGGAGGTGGGAACTGTTCTCTTCTGAGCAATCTGGCAGTTGTATTGAAATGCCAACGGCTTTTTGCTGTAGAAAATATTATTAAGAATCATGATGGAAAACCAACCCTGTTTATCTTCCAGTTTGGATGAGCTTCTCAAGGGAACCTCCCCAAAACGTAATTTTAATTTTCAAATAAGCAAAGCTCAATTTAAAATTCTCTTGGTATTTTTTAAAAAAAAAGCCAAAAGTATTTAAAATATTAAACTTGCTCGAGTGAGACATTGGAATTTACAAGTAAAATAAATAATACAATCAAGAACTGAAAAACATAGATTTTTATAATTAACAGCTCATTTTGAGTTAATTATCTACAATTACCAAAATCTAATTGCAATTTATTCTCTATTATCTGTGGAGAGAATCATAGGCAAGGGAGTCTGCATCATTGGCATTCATAGGATGGGTACAAATAATGGACGAGCCCTTAATGGAAAAACAAAAGCAAATAGGAGCGTGCAGCTGTGCCAAGCTAGCGAGAGGTAATTGTAGTCAGAAATGAGGTATGGACTTTAAAGGCATCTTGTCATCTCCTGTAGGGCATAATTTTTTACCTACTTGAAGAAAAGATTTCAAGAGCAAATATAGAGCAGTTTGATTTCTGTCTGAGCTATTCATGGCAATCTGCCTGTTTGTGGAAGGGGAAACTTTGACTCTGGGGAACACTTTAAATATACCGAACTTTTGAATGGATATGTGTTTCGTTTCCTCTACTATAAGTACCCTTTACATTTAACTAATTATCAAAGCCTTTCAACAAATGTTGCCCATCTCTGCCTGCTTGGATCCTCCTGATGCGAATTTGTAATGCTGAATTTGTCACTTCACTGTCAGGTGTAAACAGAAGGAGGGACTCGCTTGGGAAAAATGCTCTTTTCCTGATACACAGATTGGCCATCTCTAGGCAGCGGCAGTATCTGCCCTTGCAGGATCTCCAGTTCTCTCAGGCACAGCCATGGGAGCAGGGCTTTATTGGGGATAGTTTTCACTAGCTTGGTGTGCACATGGGTGAGTCCAGGATTGATCTTCAGCAAAAGATGTATAACTTCTAAAATTAGAGGCAAGTTCTGTTTGTAGAATTTCTTTTCAAGTCTGCCCCATGGTGTTAGATGCTTTAAAATATTCAAAAATAAAAGCATAACCTACTGTATTTGATTAGCTTAAGACAGCTTTTTAAAACACATTTCCCATCTCTCAGGTGCCGATGCCTGGTACATGCTCAAGTACCCACTCCTTGCTCATTCAGGAGGATCTGTTCACATGGCACCTGCTTTTGTGCATACTCCTGATAACTGCATCGGAGAGAGAGGAATTTTAAAACAATCCACCAATTTCCCCTTTGTTTGCTCTGAATATGAATATAGTACACCATGGAAACGAGGGTTGTCTAATAGCTCTGACTAAAGCCAAATATAGTTCAGAGAGATGCTGTGCAAGTACCCCTCCTTTTAACTCTTCTGTGTGCTTAAATGCTAACCTATAGCATTCCTTGCTGTTGTTTGCTTTGTCCCGTCAGCATCTCTGTCAATGCACCTTGTTCCTTTCTTCCCTATAGCACCCTCTGCTAATCCATTTCTGGGACCTCACGCAACTCTGCCAGCCTTCCTCAACCCTCACGTGAACATGTTTCATATAGGAACATTTGAGAAAATTAGTATCAAATACGTTTGTTATAGAAAGGCACCCTTTGAATGGACAGTCCCTGTTACAGGATTTTTTTCCCTCCAGTACTAGAGATTTTCCAGCTGTAATTTGCAACCACTTATTTCATCAAACACTTTTCTCATTTGTGTGTGTGGATCTATCTCACCCTTGTGTGTTTTTCCCTCTTATATTTTTAGTTAGCTGGAAATATCAAACACAGAATTTAATAGCACTTTCCCTCTATTGAAATGTTCGTCGTTATGGTGATAGTTCCAGGAGGGAACACTATCAAGGGTCTTTTAGAAGATTTTATGTTTACGGTATAACTTTTTTATTATTTTATGAGAAAAGGTGACTGTTATCTTTGCTCCTTGTTAAATACATATTATTGACTCTATTTTTTTAGGATTGTTTGAATTGTTATGTATCTTGTGCTAGCTATACCGATGTGTCCAAATATTCTAGACAATTACATATAAATGCAAAAGAATGGCTTGCAGCCCTTCCTGCTGTTCCAGGCATGTGATTTATTTCACACACTCTTTGAAAAAAAAAAATCAAACCTCACAATTATGCAAATACACTTCTGTCCTAACCGGCAGCACCCCAGCTTTTCCAGTCCTCAAGGACTCCCATCAGTATAGCTTTGCCAGTGCATCTTGGTAGCAAACGGCAGCACCCCTGTTATTTCACACCTGGGGCCATCTGTCAATTCTCCTCAATCACGACATGCATCACCTCCTGCTATTCCAGTCTGGAGTCTCTAGAGAAGAAACTGCCAATCGTGCCAGAACGTTCAGTGTTTGACTAAGACCACCAAATTCCAGTTCATTTATGAGTTGTTCCCTGCTCTCTAGAGGTGCGTTTAATAACCCAATGTGCCACTTAGGCAACTTATGCATTTACTGAATGCAGCTGGCTAGGATGTTTTTTCTTCTCCTCCTGAATATTTTTAAAACTGGCAGATTGACAGCATTAAAACAGACAGAAATCAACTGTGCTTGCAAATGGCTTATAGACTCTTTTTTACTTTGGGTAGCTGGAAACTGCTTGCCCAGTTGTTAGTGTCCATTTTAACACCCAGGCTTTCTCTCTCTGTGGCAGATTATTTTACACTGAAGTTGGTAGCATAATCAGCTGGGAAACTCAGAGAGAATTTATTTGGTCAATAAAAATGTACTTGACGTATCTGCAAGAAGTGCAAATGCTGAATTAGCTGCAGAGACACATCTCTGGCCTGGTCCACACTAACCCCCCACTTCGAACTAAGGTGCGCAACTTCAGCTACGTGAATAACATAGCTGAAGTCGAAGTACCTTAGTTTGAACTTACCGCGGGTCCAGATGCACCAGGCAGGCTCCCCCGTCGACTCCGCATACTCCTCTCGCCGAGATGGAGTACCGGCGTCGACGGCGAGCACATCCGGGATCGATTTATCGTGTCTAGACAAGACACGATAAATCAAACCCAGAAGATCGATTGCTTGCCGCCGGACCTGGAGGTAAGTATAGATGTACCCTCTGAGTAATAAATATAACCACAGCATCTCCCCAACAGATATCTGCCCTAGTCCATTGTTACATAACAGGAGACTTTATACTGAATTTTCTGCACATTTGTACTTCATTACGGCCACCTAGGCCAGGGTACAGCTGCACTGCAAAATAACAAAACAAAACAAAACCCACATCAGCGAGTCTCAGAGCCCGGGTCTGCAGGCTCGGGCTCATGCTACGGCACTAAAAATAGCAGTGTAGATGTTCCTGCTCAGGCTCTGAGACTCATCCCCTTCACCAGGTTTCAGAGCCAAACCAGGAATGTCTATTTTTAGCGCCGCAGCACAAGCCTGAGTCTATAAACCTGGGCTTTGAGACTCGCTGTTGCAGATGTTTTCTTTTGGAGTGTAGATATACCCAGAGAAGCTTAAAGAATAGCAGAAATAGTTGGTGACCAAAAGTTTATTTCAAGATTTCTGTGAGTTTTTTTGTTTTTTTTTACCAGCCAACAATGTTTGTTAGTCCAGGGAGTCTAAAGCTTCATTTCCACTTGCACTGGTTTCTTTGATAACCGCAGGTTTACTTTGAACTACAGCAGTTTTCTATCCTGCTCTTATCTGAACTGTATCTGATCTCTTCTTAGGATGACGTATGCCACATTCAGCACTCCAAACTAGCCTGAACAGGAAGCCTATGGGTGGGCACGCCCATAGGATGTAGGGGGAGGCAGCTTAGTCAGTCTTAGTGGAAAGATGGAGCTAACTTGGTTTACAGCTGTAGTCTTCAAAAAGTAAAATGTTTGCAATTAGCAAACACTTGTGGAAAGAGGGTGGGATCAGGGGTCACTGGATGTCACTGGTAATTTGTATACAGTAAAAACCAGCCACTTGTGAATTTTCCAAAGGCCTGGATCTGTTAATGTGTAATGATAGTGCATGGTAAATCTCCTGGCGTGGCTTTGCGGCTTCATATATTGAAATTGAAAATGTTCTGGGAATTTGTGGTGTGACTAAATTTCTTGTTTTCCTTCTAGCTCTTGTAAGTTTGTTCACCATGCTTTCTGGGCGTTCTTTCCTGTGCAGACACTTGGGAACAGGGAAAGACATTTTTCAGAACACCTGCAGTTGTCTTCTTTTGAGGACACATTAGAAGCTAGTAGATCACTCCATGAATTGCAATCCTCTTTTGAAGCCTGGCTTGATTAGTTTTAATATAGATTGCTGTTCTTATATGTAACTGTGTATCTTCTATTTATTTTTAAAAAATTGTTCTTAAAGTAACTAATATTTTAATGTACTGTATATTTTCTTGTGTCCCAAAGAGTTTTCAGTAGGAAAAGTTGAGCCAGATCGTATTAAAACAAAAAAGTTCTGGAAGGTACTTTTGAATTCACTGTATTTGGAACCTACCCTTGCAACTATCAAGCCATTTACAATCTGAACTGATGGGGCAGTACTAAGAACAAAAGCCATTGGTATTACAAAATCAAAGCAAGAAATCCTCCATACCCTGCTATTTCTGGCCATGATCACAGCTGCACCAAGCTAAACCCACTTTTTCCTCCCTCCTGTGACCTTGGCTGCGCTTCAGCATGCAGAGAATTGAAGCAAAAAGCAAACTGTACTAAGTATTACATTCTGTCACTTGTGGATATACAAACTTCATAGAAGGATAACGTCATGTGACCCCCCCCCTCCCTCTCTCTCTCTGAAGTGGACTTTATGCATTTGCAACTAAAATTATGGTGACATAAAACTTTCCAGAGTGTAATGATATTTTGAATTGAGCTCTGTTGTTTTCCAGGGGTGCTTTGTCTTTGCAAAACTGCCCATTACATTTATAACAGTGCTAATTTTTGAGAGCCACACAGAGAAAATTTTAGATTCAGCCCAGCTGACTTGTTCTTCATACTGCCCCTGCGGTGCAGAGGATTGATTTTTGTGTTTCTTTTGATATTTGGATTTCTTTCCTCTGGTACTCAGTGCTTCAGGCCTTAATCCTTTAACCTTGAATCTGAGCATCAGGGCTTCATGAGGGATCAGGCCGTTTGATGGAGAGAGAACTTCCTTTGTTGTACCAAATGGCTGGGAGTGGTACAAAACAAGGCAGATCTCCAGATAGTTTATATTTTTCTATTGTGTTAAAAGACTATAAACAGAGGATGGGTTTAGTGGGGATTATAAATAATCTAGAGGAATGTAGGGTATTAGAAGCAATAGGAAAGAGGTAATGACTTTTTCTTTAACATTTCACCAATAACCAGTCTATCATGAGAGATGTGTATTGGGTTGCCAGCTGTTATATAGCATTCTGATTTGGGTAGTGGTTCAAAGCTCAGCATGTGGAAAAGGCTTTTCAGCTTCTCAAAGGGCAGTAGTTGTGGAAGCAGCAGCTTGCTTGTCCTACCCAATGTAAAGAACGGTTTTGTGGATGGCTGGGTGAGTTCGTACTTTATAGGATCATTAATTATATCTTATAAGGTAGCTAAGCATGGCATTCCTAACTTCATGAATTCTATTATGAATGGCCTTTTCATATTCTTCATCTCATTATATTAATGCATGTGACCTGAAGTTTAGCTAAAGTTATTGTTCAGGTTAACTTTCATTTAGTGGTTGCCCTAATTTTAGAAACAGTAGGATCGTTAGATTTTTATGGAGAGAATATTTTTATGTGGGTTTTTTTGCAGCACTATTTTATACCATTTCTCTTGGAACTAGTTTTGAACCAGTTTCTTCTTGCAAAGAGAGGTTTCAGGCATTTCTTGATTTGCCCAGATATTATCCCTGGATGACTACATCCGCCTCCACAGATTCAGCTATCATCACTATGCCAGTAACTCTTTTACCCTTTGCTTCTCTGGTTGTCTTGCTGTCTGATCAACCCTAATCTGCCAAAAAATGCGTTCTTCACTTTTCTTTCTGAAATTCTGCTTCTGGTATTGACAATACTACGATCCTCTCTGTCACTCAGAATTGTTGGGTGACTCATGGGAGGGACACAAAGGGGGGCACCACCTAAAAGGGGGCATGTGACTTCCCCACGTGACCCCTCACCCCCAGCCTAGGGCCCCCGTGCTCTTCCTGTCCCCTCCCCGTCCCACATTGCCTGGGGGGAGGGGAGGGAACCTCTGTCCTCCTGCTGCGCTGGGAACCGCAGCGGCGAAAGGAGCAGAACGTGGCTATACCACCCCTAGCCCCGCCCCCCAGCCCTGTCCTCTGGCGGAGCTGTTCAACAGACCCCAGACAGGAGACACAGCTGCATGGAAGGGCTGGGGCTGGGGCCAGGCTGGGGGCGGTCCCTGCTCCTTTCGCCACTGAGGTTACCTGCTGAATGTGCCCCCCCCATCATCTGGGGAGGGACATATGACCCTTCTTGCCAGCCCCCACCCCCAGGCGTTGCCTTGACACTTTTCCCGTATCCTTCTCCTCACATACCTAGGCTGTTGCCGCATGCTGCTGCTTTCTCTTCCACAACATACTTTAAAAATCACCTTGACTATGTGAAATCCTCTCTGGCCTGCCTCCCTTAATATCCATTTCATTCACCTCCATTTAAAATACAGCTGCTAAGACTAATTTCCTTGCTGCACAATTAGACCACGTTACTCCTCTCTTTGAAACCCTCTGTTTGCAGCCGCTTGCCTATAGGCTTTGTGCAAATCTACCCTGGCCTGCAGCTCACATTGTATTGTTATATCCCCTTATTTCTTGTCACTCCATCAATAGCATTAGCATCAACATCTCCTTTTTATGTTTGTTGCTTTTTTCCTCCATGTCTCCTCTTACTGTATCCCATATGCATATAAAATCACTGGAGGCTGTCTCCAAGCATCTTCTGGCATTGGAACCTGCAGTCAATACAGGGTCACTGCATGGTGGTACTTAGCATTGGTCTAGATCCTTCCCGTTTCTTGTCCCACCTCTCCCCTCCCCTTTACTTGGAGTTTGTCCTGGGTTTTTGTTGTTGTTTGTTTTTCCCCTCCTAATCCCATTGAGGCGCAAAGAGGGACTAGTTCAAAGAGCTGTAAACTTGGCTCCCTTCTTTCAGGAGAGGAGACTGACACTAAACTGGGAGGAGTGGTAGATACACTGGAGGGTAGGGATAGGATACAGAGGGACCTAGACAAATTAGAGGATTGGGCCAAAAGAAACCTGAAGAGGTTCAACAAGGACAAGTGCAGAGTCCTGCACTTAGGACAGAAGAATCCCATGCACTGCTACAAACTAGGGACCAAATGGCTAGGTAGCAGTTCTGCAGAAATGGACCAAGGGGTTACAGTGAACGAGAGGCTGGATATGAGTCGACAGTGTGCCCTTGTTGCCAAGAAGGCTAACGGCATTTTGGGCTGTATAAGTAGGGACATTGCCAGCAGATCGAGGGACATGATCGTTCCCCTCTATTCGACATTGGTGAGGCCTCACCTGGAGTACTGTGTCCAGTTTTGGGCTCCACACTACAAGAAGGATGTGGAAAAATTGGAAAGAGTCCAGCGGAGGGCAACAAAAATGATTAGGGGGCTGGAGCACAAGTTAGGAGGAGAGGCTGAGGGAACTGGGATTGTTTAGTCTGCAGAAGAGAAGAATGAGGGGGGATTTGATAGCTGCTTTCAACTACCTGAAAGGGGGTTCCAAAGAAGATGGATCTAGACTGTTCTCAGTGGTTCCTGATGACAGAACAAGGAGTAATGGTCTCAAGGTGCAGTGGGGGAGGTTTAGGTTGGATATTAGGAAAAACTTTTTCACTAGGAGGGTGGTGAAGCAGTGGAATGGGTTACCTAGGGAGGTGGTGGAATTTCCTTCCTTAGAGGTTTTTAA